AGAGAGAGAGAGAGAGAGAGAGAGAGAGAGAGAGAGAGAGAGAGAGAGAGAGAGATTAAAATTATTTCGATAAGGATTGAAATTGGTATCGTGCTACACACGGATTTCTTTTCGACAGATCGACAAGTATTTGAGCGTGAGCAAACGAATGGAGCTGTCCAAGTCTTTAAACTTGACCGAGGTACAGATAAAAACGTGGTTTCAAAATCGTCGCACCAAATGGAAGAAGCAGCTTACCTCGAGATTAAAAATCGCTCAGAGGCAAGGACTTTTCCCGCCAACCTACTTTCCGCCGGCACAGTATCCCCTGTTACCCTATTACACCGCTCCCCTCGTCTTTGGAAGCCCAACGTCGGATGATATCAACGCGATGACGATGTCGATACCTCCACGACCGGTATCGTCGTCGGATACCCTGTAAAAGGATATACACGATCACTTGAGTCGTCGGATGAGGTGACAGGATAAACGTGACGTTTAATAGAACTCTTCTATATTTCCTATAAGATCTCGCAAAAGAGCGGTGAGTGAGAGGAATTATATTATTCGATGAAAAAAACAAAAGTTGGTAAAATTGAAGAAAAATAATAATTTCATTTTTGATACATCCTTTCATAAATATATTCGAGTGCGTTTATTTATGGATATTTGATTGAATTAATTCACGAATTAATAGCTTTCGACATACAATACAACTTTGCTTAAAGTGTTTCGTGCTGTTTATATATCGCAAATAGCATTAGCTTGCTTTAGCGTAGCGTAGAATCGCGCACATTGTAGAGCAGAGAATATCTATATTTTCCACGTCTTAAAGATTAAGACGATAAAAGTGTGTTTCTGTACGGCATCCCGTATCTCGTTTGTAATAGAGTATATGGGACAAGGAGGGGAAATGGTAGGAGAAGGACAGAGATAAGGTAAAAATACCGAAATCAGCGCCATCTTCAGAGTGCCGTAAATGAAACTCAATGTATAAGGACAGAAAATAGTTGGAGAAGGATAGGAAATAGGATAAAATTGACCACCAGCGCCATCTCTCGATATTATAGATATCTCTTTTAAAAATAGTTTCTAATAATTCTTCAGAGATGGCGCTGAATCTAAATTCTCACCTTATCTTATTCAACTTTTAAAAAGATATCTTCGACAATCGAGAGATGACGCCAGTAGTTAATTTTATTCTATCTTTATCCTAGTGTTTTTTTTATCCTTGTATATTGAGTTTTATTGGTGATACTCTAGAGATGGCGTTGATTTCGCTATTTTTACTCTATTTCTGTTCTTGTCTATAGTTACTCGTGATTACATCAAGTATAGAATATCAACATGGAATATCGAACATCATCGTTTTCATTGTTTCTTTTTAAACGATATATCTAATATGTCTTAATCTTTGATATAAAAAATATGGATGTTATTTTCTCGACTTTACAATGTATCTTTAAGACGACGATCTCGCAAAACATAATATTCTGATATACGTGTGAAATAACAGTGAATCTACCTTACTTTACGTTGTCGTATTTTATCTTACGCTATCGTTATTTTATGCAACGAAGAAACGTATATATCATAACATATTTCTTTACTGATAATTTTCGCTAATTAGATATTCAACTGTAAAATATAAATTTATGTTGTTAAAAATGCATAAGATAAAAATTTTGTGTACATAAGTTGCGACTATAATAAATAGAAATTTTAAAAATTCTTTGTTTTTCTTTAATCTTTACGATGTATCTGTTGAATATTATAAAATATGTTTAAATTTATTTATTTATATAGAAATAAGCGAAAAATTATAAATAAAAAATATACAAGGTTTACAATTTATTAACTTCATATAAATTTATTTCATTTATATTGAATGGACATATTACATCGTATAACTCTGATGCAATAAATTATTCACATAAAATATTCTGTTAAACTGAATATCAAAGTACTGAACTGTATATATCAAAAACGATTAAAAGAAACTATAGCGTTAAATAATTTATACAAAATTCTTATTTGTACAATTTTGGTTAAGTTTATCAGCTTTCAGTTTTGCTTGCATATTTGCTACTTTGGCTTCCGTTACGCAGTTGATTCCTTGTCTTGCCCTACATTGTGGTATCATCGATTTATCTGTTTCACAAGCAACCGTTTGTACTTTTGGATACATGGGAAATCTTAATTTTGGGATCATAGCCTGGAGCCTCTTCGGAATTTTAAATTTTGGCTTTACTTTTTTTATTTTCTTATCTTTTTTCTTCTCAGGGAACGAAGTCCCTATATCGCGCGTTCTTACCTTAACGGATGATTGTACAGTTCTGACATATATAGTTGGACTGCAGCTTTTGTCCGAAGTTGCTATTTCTTTTGTCGATGCTTGTATAGATATGTGAAATTTTTCACCTTTGGAAAGTGCTGCCGCGATTGCCATCGTATTTTTCGCGCATAAATAACAACAGCTTTTCGTGAAATCTATTTCCTTAGTTTCAGGAGGTACATCTTCGATTTTATCTGGCTTGTCAATTTCATATTCGGGCTTCTCTTTTTTCTTTTTCCGTTTGATTTTCTCATCATCATCTTCGAAAGTGGCTTTCTTTACCCTTTTCTTTCTAAATTTTCCTCTGACGCGTTGCCAGAAAGTTGGCTTTCTTCTACGAGGGGCTTTTTTCACAGGTAATTTCCTTCTCCTACAACATTGATAGAACCATGAAGTACTAACTCTTTCATCTTCTTCTTCAATTTCGTCGCAAGGTTTTTTTTTGATAGCCAACTGTTTTTCTTTCAGTTTTTCTAGATATTTTCTCTCATTTTCTAGATTCTTTCGAAATGTATTTCTTTCTTCTTCTTCTTCTGAATCGCAAGGTTTTTTTTTCGAATTGATAGCAGCAAACTGTCTTTCTGTTTTCAGTTTTTCTAGATATTTTCTTTCATTTTCTCGATTTCTTCGAAAATTATTTCTTTCTTCTTCTTCTTCTGAATCGCAAGGTTTTTTTTTCGCATTGATAGCAGCTAACTGTCTTTCTACTTTCATTTTTTCCAGATATTTTCTCTCATTTTCTAGATTTTTTCGAAAAGTATTTCTTTCTTCTTCTTCTTCTGAATCGCAAGATTTTTTTTTCGCATTGATAGCAGCTAACTGTCTTTCTACTTTCACTTTTTCCAGATATTTTCTCTCATTTTCTCGATTTTTTCGAAAATTATTTCTTTCCAATGGTTCTACTGTTAGGCAGAATAATATCGATAATTAAATAGAATAAAATTACGTCTAACGATATTATATAATTGAATGGAACAAAATTAAGAATAAATTTACTTGAATTGCATTGGGATAAATTTCGCGTTTGTGTACGTTTGAACTCATATTTTTCTCCGCTATTATATCGATTAGATTTGTTAGGATGTACATATACAAAATCAGTCTCCGACATTGCTTTTGTTGGATTGTACGGAGTATGTACTTTCTCACGTACACAATTAACCTCATTAGGGTTACATTTTATTCATTATCAATTAAAGGTTTACATTAACGTTTATTGGCATCTATTATAAAATCAATATCAATAAAAAAGTGATTAAAAGTGTACAGGCATCTTACTTTTTATAATTATAATTACAATTATTGAGAAAATTATTAATTTTATCAATGACAAAAGGTTAGGTTTCTATTTCCACTGTTATATTTCCACTGAATCCTCAAAGATATATAAAACTATTATTAATTAAAAAATTTTTACCGGAATTTGTGTTAGTAAACAAGTAAGTTTCATAATTTAACAGATAATATTAAAATTTTATCCATATTGGGATTTTAAAACTCCCGAATGTGAATGACTGGAAGTGCAGCCAACCACATAAACGTGAAATTTCTTATTTCCATGTAAAAGTAGATTATATTTTTATTTTATACTTTAAAAATATTTTCTTTAATTTGTAAATAAATTAATAAAATATTTGAATAATTTAATTCTTGTATATAAGCTTAAATGAACATATCTTATTACGGAATATTTTTGACAATCGTAATAAAAAAATATAACATTAAATTCAAAATTTAAAAAGCATCTATAAAAATAACAAACAAAGAAAAGAATCAAATATTTATAATAGATTGTAAATATTTTTTATTTATTCATTTTATATATACATATAGATATATATATTATTTCATAATTTTGTATACATCACATATTTTATATTCTTCGATCAATATTTATTTCGATATCGCATATATATATATATATATGCATAATTTATATATGTAATAATATAATAATAAAATTGTATAAATCATTTTATATAAAATATTTTTATAAACATATTTCCGTTTAAATTCCTATAATCCCATTGAATGACGTCACGTGTCAGGATAACACCTTTCCAGCAACAGTAACTATCGTCCTCTACCGGTCCAAGCTCGAACAAACAGTTCGCCGCCATGACACAGGGAAGTCGAAAATTCTAGCGGTGGTAGGACTGTCAGTGGCAACGGTGGCGACTGGCCGACGTCGTGTGTGTGTTTTGTTGCTGCTGCGATGCGTCAGCTAAATCTTGGATCATCTGGTAAGAGAGTGTGATAAAAAGAGTGGTCAGCTGTTACGACGTTTACGAGTCAACGCGGAGAAACGAGCGGCAAAGAAGTAAATAGTGGAGAAAGGTACGAGAAACGAGAGGGAGGCGAATACCGTGCGACGGAGGAAGGTTACGAGGGGCGGATCGTCGGTGGTAAGGACCGTCCGCGTGTAAGTGATAATATCGGTGGAAAACGATGGCGTAAGCTCATCAACCCTGAGCCGAGACGTGCCGTGTGTCCTTTGTGCCGTGGCCGTCCGTCATTTTCCGTTGATTCTCGTACGACGCGTATGACTCGGCTGTTCCGAAAAGTCGCGCGCGCGAACAACAGAACGCGTTCACAACGTAACGTCAGTGAAAACACCATCGAATGTGTGCTGTGCTACGCAGAGTCTAGTTGCTATGCAGGCTGAGTAGTGAATGTAACTCGAAATATTATTGGTTCGTATTTGATCATCCGCGGATCACCAAGCTTTCCAAGTGTACGCGCCAATATTTTATCGGTTATCGCCGCGTCGCGTTTCCTGTGTCTTGTTCGACTGTTAGTGACTTTATCATTCGAAATCGCTACTTCCTCGCGTCGTCGCGTTGTTGTTTTGTTTATTGTTGTTTACGCGTATTCGCGAGGTGGTGCCAATATCTAGCCAACGGCTTCTTACCGTGGCAGAGAATATGGTTACAATGATCAGTGATACGTGTGGATATGTTCTCTTTCTCCTGTTGCTGTTGCTCGTTCCTTACATCGAAAGCGGTGAGTGTAAATACATTTATTTTCGTATCGTAAAAGTATCTTTACACATAACGATCGAGTTTCGTTTAAAAGTATCATTAAAATTATTAATCAAGTATCGATAGATTGCATATCTCATGCGAGATGCATGTCTCCGTAATGGTTAATGTCCGATCCGATGTCATATGCATAGTATCCGTAGATACATATAGATATATGCGTGCGTATGCGTTCATCTCCATGTCCCATGAATCATCTTTTTAGAAGAAGCGTGTCTCGCACATTTCTCTGTGATTCTTTGAAAATAAAAAGACAAGTATTATGCTTGTTTTTTGACGTTTGTTCTTTTTTTCTTTTTTTTNTTTTTTTTTTTTTTTTTTTTGTTACATTGTTAGATTAAAATGGAATGGTAGAACGTGAGAAACTATATATTATACCGTTTATTACTATATTTTATCACTATTATTTTACATTATTATTTTAGAATTATATTAATTGTATAGTAGAGAATTCAATTTATATATATGTATACTACGATTGTTAAAAATAGAGTAGCATTTTTTTCTCGCGCTTTTATCGTTTGATTATATGTTTTCTAACTCGAATCACGGATTTCCGTTCCATTTCCAAGAACGGAAGGACACAGTAAACGGATAAATTTCCTGATTCATGAATTTGCTAAAATCATAGATAACATTTCTCTTTAAAGTTTACACTATAAATTATCTGTTGCAATTCTTTCACCTTATCACACGTTTTGATATTGTTCATTTTAAATTGTTGATTTTCAATTTAAATTGATGGAGAATTTCTATGTTTGATCGAGTAAAAGAGGATCCTCTTCTCCGGAGTGTAAATCGTAAAATTACCCTTGCCGGAAGTTCCAATTAGGGACCACTGGTTGATGTAGGTGATAGTTACATACTCGCAAGTATGCTACTACGTTATCTATCTGAAACTAAAAACGAACGAAGAAAAAAAAAAGAGTGAAAATACTTACGGATTATTTTTAGAATTTTGCAATCTGATTTTTCAATATCAGTTCTTTAAAAAATTGTGTTTTACTTCATTATATATAATTTATACATGCAATACGTTATTTGATATAAAAATATTTTTTTGATAATATTTCAAAAAGAATTATATTCTTTCAAGTATTAAATAATTGATAATAAAAAACTTGATACAAGAATGACTCAATACCTGTCTTATCGAATTCTTTGTATACGATAAAAATATATTCCGTGTATTAAATTTTCCAAAATTAACATTCTTTATTCTAGTAGCAAAGAATAAAAGTTTCATTCGAAAAAAAAAACATTATTTCTCATCTTGCTATAAAATATTCTTTCGATAAATTCGGTAAAACTATGGTCGATAAAATTGAGAAAAAGGGGGAGGGAGAAAAAAAAAAAATATTCATCCAGTTTCATTGTTGCGATTCAAAGTCGAGTTTCTTACGATATCTACCAGCGGGCAAAAGGAAGTGAGTTATCGCTATCGCGGAATATTTTTGTCGAAATTCTTATTCGCGAAGGGGGAAGTGTGATGCGAGCAAAAAGCTACGGCGGTTCGTGCAATGCAGCCAGAATATAAAGTCGCAGTTAACCGTGATAGGTATAAGTCGTTTCGTTGGCCTCAGGGCCCATATCTCAAGGACAAAGGATCGATTTTTCTTAGACGAAGTTTTCAATTCTTCGACCAGACTAACCCTCACGACGCCCTGTGAAACGGTTGTTGGCAACTTTGGAAAATCTTCAAGCGCTGCACGTTGCAGCCATCTTCGTATATTTCATTCCAGAAACTGCGTTACGCTCCTGGAAAATACATAGGCCGAGAGATGAATAATATTTCGATCTTGAAATTTTACATTTTTCCCTGCAAATTCACCGCGTCTACAGCCAGATACAGTTTCCTTGTTACATTGAATATGATAATAAATATGATTTTTATCAAAAAATTATTCATTTTTGGACTTGAACTATTTCTATCGATTTTTTTTTCTTTTTTTTTTTTTTTTTTTTTTATGTAATCGCACTACTTCCATACTTTGCTCCAACTCTTGATATATCTCCCAGCAACAAAAATCGGATTAGGGGTCATTATTCTTCCAAGCTATAAAGTAAAAGTAATGGAGCAGTCTCTTGTCTGTAATCTCTGTCAAAAGTAATGGCTTCATTCTGTATAATTATTGATTCGCATGAGATGAAATGATAAAAGAGGACGTCGAAAGAATTTTATAAGTGTTCGTCTGAAATATGATTGAAAAATCGCAGGAAATGAAAATGATGAAGAAAGATCGATGATCACGTATGAATTAAGAATATGTTTAAAATAATTATTGAGAGAATTATGTAGATGAAAATTCACCAGATCTGAACATACATACGTGTTAAAACGAATATTTTTTTTTAATCTTTCTATGTGACATTAAAAAAAAAAGAAAATCATTCATCAATGGAATCGTTGTCTATTAAAATATAAGATTTATTTCTTCTTGTTATTCAACTTAAAGGTATTACCTCGTAATAATATTTCGCGATGAAAATGGAAAGATTTCAAATACAATTCATCCATTGTTTTCCACGATTTAAACCGCGGGTTATGCAAATATCGGATACAAAATCAATATTCAAACAACGATACAAAGATTCGTTTCAAGGGAATAGAAAATGTTTACGTGTGCAGCAATTTTTTTTTTTTTTTATATCTCGTGATTTCATTTATTTAGGGAAGTTAATAAATGCTCGTAAGTTAATAACTTGACGATGAATTCGACATTCATACTGCGGTTATTTGTAAAGCAAGTTTACCGTACAAGTTCAATAGTGGATTCAGTTAGTTAGTCAGATTCAGCTTCTGATTTCTAATGTAATTAACTCGGTATTAAGCCGTGGTTATCTTGTATATATATACACATATATACAACAGATATAAGATAAGATATTATTCAGATATTAATAATATATATCATTTTCATTAATGCTAATTAAATTCTATTCAGTCAGTTTCACTTTTTTTTAGACATTTAAATATTTCCATCACAGAAAAGGAGCATATTTTAAACCAATTTTAAATGTTCCCGCATAAAAATGGAAATTATAATTCCGCTTTGGTAACAAAAATCTGTTACCAAATTATAATTATAATGCACGTGCAATTATTTTTAAATTCGCGACAAATTCGAAGCAAATTTTCCAATTAAAACCCGGCACCTCTAACTCTTTCTTTATATTATTTCGTAACGCGCAATTTCCAAATTGTGCAAAAAAAAAAAAAAATGATTCATCTCTCGTCATCTCTTAATTAATTCCTCTTCGTACTCCGTTGTGATCCGTGCATTTCGAGAGAAATTTCTCCCTCCCCCTATTTTTTTTCTTCTTTTTTTTTTTTTTTTTTTATCCAAATTGGCACGCGAGACAGAGAATTTTTCGCGCGGAAATCATCGTCGATCTCGCGTACGAAGCGAGAAAATACGAGAATAAGTTGTTCGGTTAAAATATCCTGCGGAAGCCAGGCTTCGGTATAAGGTCAATGCTTTGAATGTGCGGGTTCTAGATGCGATAGACACGGCCGTGAACACCGGTCTCTCTGGATTCGCGACGGAAACGTGACGAAACAGTTGTTATCCAGTTGTTGCGTCACTTTTACCTCGTTCGACTTGTATGCCTTTCGTGTGCTACTGCTTCATCATCCGGGACATATGCGGAGAAATGAAAGTCCAATGGCTATATCTCGCGATGGCTTGTGAAACTGAAACTCGCGACTTTTATATTGTTTTGACGTTTGTCTTTCGTTTTAAATATATTGTTTAAAATCGAATATCAAATCGTGCTTTGAGTTTATATATATATATATATATTTTTTTTCTTCTTCCAATTTATTATGAATTTATTAATTGGAAGTTTTAGGTATTGTATAATATATATTTTTCTTTTTTCTTCTTCCAACTGATGTATCTCTTTTTTGGAAATTGGAACTCGTGTTTATTATGAATTTATTAATTGAAAGTTTTAGATATTGTATAATATATATTTTTCTTTTTTCTTCTTCCAATGATAGTCTTTCTTGGAAACTGGAATTCGTGTTTATTATTATATTATATTATATTATATATATATTATATTATATATTATATTATATTAATGAATTTATCAATTGGAAATTTTAGATATTGTTTAATTCGTATAATATATATTTTTCTTTTTTCTTCTTCCAACGATGATGTAATCTTTTTGAAAATTGGAACTCGTGTTTATTATGAATTTATTAATTGGAAGTTTTAGATATTGTATAATATATATTTTTTTTTTCTTCTTTCAATGATGGTGTACCCCTTTTTTGGAAATTGGAACTCGTGTTTATTATGAATTTATTAATTAGAAATTTTAGATATTGTTTAATTCGTATAATATATATTTTTCTTTTTTCTTCTTCCAATGATAGTTTCTTAGAAACTGGAATTCGTGTTTATTAATGAATTTATCAATTGAAAATTTTAGATATTGTATAATATATATTTTTCTTTTTTCTTCTTCCAACTGATGTAATCTTTTTTGAATATTGGAACTTGTGTTTATTATGAATTTATTAATTGGAAGTTTTAGATATTGTATAATATATATTTTTCTTTTTTCTTCTTTCAACGATGGTGTACCCCTTTTTTGGAAACTGAAACTCGTGTTTATCAATGAATTTACCATATTGGAAGTTTGTTTTTCATTAGATATTGAGATTAATTCGAATATTATGATTCGAGTTTATATATTTTTCTTCTTCCAACAATGGTGTACTCCTTTTTTGAAAACTGGAATTCATATTTATTATCAATTTATCAATTGGAAGTTTATTTTCCATTTTAGATATTGTTTAAATCGAATATCATAATTCGTATAATATATATATTTTTTTTTCTTTTTCTAATGGTGTATCCCTTTTTTGGAAATTGGAACTCGTGTTTATCAATGAATTTACCATATTGGAAGTTTGTTTTTCATTAGATATTGAGATTAATTCGAATA